ATATAGTGACTTTAAGGTTGAGCATATACTGTAGTTAAATCGCGTGACACAAACAGATGTTGGCCAGCATATGGCTATACTTTAATTACAGGCAAAAAATAGACTCGTTGTCAAAAAATAGATTACTTGATACGTTTGAAAATTGCCATTCTAATTTTCGTTTCGACTTTTATTTCAGTCAACTAATGTTCTAAACGTAGCCAATTAAGATTTGGAGTTATTGAAATATATAGCGGAGACAGCGTTTCTTTGTGAGCTTAATGTATTGTTTTGGTAATGGCTTTGTCACGCTTTGATTAGGTAATGTGCCATGATTCCAGAGTTTTTCTTAGTCTATAGTTTCCCTTGTCAATAATTTCCCATTTTTCAAAATCAATTCTATGTCCGTTTTTCCATGAATGTGATGCTATGTTCGAACTGTTCGCATACTGTATATGTCTTTACATTGCCGCTCACATGTTCTTTTTTCTTGTTTCGAACGCCCTCCCCGTTTCTCGTATGTATGACCAGTTACAAACTACACTGTAAATTTCAAGGAGTCTAAATAACTCCAAAAGTGTTATTCTGTAATCGTTTTAGACCGTTTTTGGTTACAGAATAAAACTTTTTGAGTTGATTCAACTCCTTGAAATTTACAGTGTATAGACCAAGAAAAACTCGGAAAACAAATAAGAAGAAAAACTCGGAAAAACGGAAACAACTAAGGACGCGGACACTGACAATTCAAAGCCATTACCAAAACAATACATTAATTAAGCTCACAAATAAAATTCTAATCTATTGATGTAATACAACCCGCTAAGTTAGGTATATAGCTCCCTGTTTTCATAGTCATGTACCTGTAGAAGACCACACAGTCCAGTGGCCGAAAGCTCATCAAAATAAATTATTTTTGATCACAGAACGACTCCTTTTATTAATGACAATATACCAAAATAAACTTAAATGTCCATGAAGTTCAATAAAGGAAGTAAAGACAGCCCATGCAGTGTAATTGCAGCATATGACGCAATTGCAACATATGACGAAATCGGCGGAGTATCCCGCACAAAAAGAGCAGTTTGTAGTCGGTTTGGCAGAGTGTCACGGAAAGCACTGTTTTCACATGACATTAAACACAATTACAGCTAGAAGGGATATAGATTCATATAGAGTCAGGGTAAGGATAGGGCTCCGAGCATTCATAAACAGCGAGACATGAATTTATAACAACTAGAAGTAGAAAGCACCCGAAGACTGCATCAATCTCGTTTCCCAAGCATGCCCGTTTGCAGGTTAAGGGTTGGGCATAGCTCTGGAGAAATCGAATTGATTAACGATAGGTTTCCAACGTGAGTCGTACAGTTCGCATGCTCGGCAATTGTTGCAAAATATAAACAAAATATTTAGAATTTCTCGTCGAAAATTTGATACTTTTTACACTTAAATCGATTGAAAACAACTAAAAATTTTAGGGGAAATAGGTACGAAATATTTTGATTGGGATACAACTACCATTGGGAGAACACCGACGTTTCGAGTGAAGGAAGCTTTGTATACATCGTACTTGACCTTTTATACTGTCGGGATTCATGATAAAAATCTCCTCAACAACTTACGTCTGCCGCTAGCCAATCACCTGCCTGAATCATACGATTTCTCCAGAGCTATGCCCACCCTTAACCTGCGAACGGGCATACTCGGGGAATGAGATTGAGACTGCATCTCAAAATAAATAATGGGCGGAAGGTTGGCCTTTGAAGTTTTGTGCCCACGCATGTCGCTCCGCGCCAGTGAACTCCATATATCTCTCAGTGGAGCGAGAACTCGAGTCGAAAAAGTGAACTCAAGCCAGTTTCGTTTTAACCGCGCAGACAAATGCAAATCTTCTTTACCTTTCGAAATAATTTATTGTTATAAATACAAGAGATGACAGGGAACATAAGGTATCTAATTGTTATCTCAAAGAGATTTTGATACAAAGTATTAAATTACAGACACAGAAAACAAGGAAATGAGAGTGGGGGGGGGGGGGGGGGGGGTTCATGGAAGGAAAGCAGGAATTAGGAAGGCAGGGAAAGAGAGACAGAACTGCCTTGCTTGTTTAAGGAAGGCTTGAGTTTTGAAATTAAGCGACTTTCGCGAATTAAAAGTTCATCAGAGTTGGCGCAGGAAGAAAGAACTTTGAAGCCATCAATAGAAGCTGTCATTCGCGATCATCAATACGATCTGGCTCAACACCACTGGCCAAATTCTCTTTTCCAAACTTAAGCCTTCCTAATTAAGCAAGCAAGGGAGTTCGCGATCGGTCCCTCTTTTCATGCTCATTAAGTGGTCCCGAATATTTGAAAAACAATGAAAAATATTAAAGTTAAATGTCATTGAAAACTGAAAATTCGCGTCGCGTTGCCAAATAGCGTCCGGTCTGTATGGGCCTTAATAAGATGAAAGTATCACGAAATTATTTGAATAAACCACATCGCATATATGGGGGGGGCGAATATCCTAAAGGGGGGGGGCGATATTTCTGGGACATTCGCCCCTCTGGGGTGGGGGGGGGCGATATTCCTAAGATATTCGTCCCCCGGGGGTGGTATTCCAAGGAATATCGCCCCCTTTTCAGAGGGGGGCGAATCTCCTGGGGGGGACAAAAGTCCTGTGACAACGGCATGGGCAAACAGCAGTACCTTTTTAAAAATTCTATCTTGCCCCCCAAAATATGAGTTTGCCCCTCAAATGCCCCCCCCCCTAATTCTGAGGCCTGGCGCCGCCACTGAACTCGTATAAACAATCAATTTTTATTTTAGATTATTGCGGACTAGCCGTTTTATATACCTCTGAGCTTATTACGAATGAACTGACCTTTTACGCGAAATAAAGCCGCGAGGTCAATTTATTCGTAATAAGCTAGCTGAGAGGTACAAAAGCTAGTCAAAAATAATCTGTTATTTAATGAAACTTGACTGTTTATACGAGTTGTTCGTGACTCATTTAGGCTGCAGCTTATTTAAATTAAGGCAGTTTAAGCCCAGACGTATGATAACTATCTCCAGCTACAATCAGGAGCAAAAATTATTGAGACAACCGCATAAATGCCCCCCTTACCCCCAATTCAATGTTGTGCGAATGACTGAAAAGAGAAAGTTTAACCCACTTTTTCCAACATTGATCATGGGGGCAGGGGGGAGGCCGACATACTTTAAAATGGCCAAAAATGTGAAAAGTCTCATTATTTTTGCACGCGATTGTAGATTGTGGATCACTCTGATCATTGCTCTTTTACATGCCTCAACTGTCGGGGCTTAACTCGAGCGTCGAATATTTTTAATGACTTAATTTGAGTTAAGCCCCTCTTTTTTTCCGGACGCGATAATATCCCGAATCGTATTTTCAAGGATTTTGCTGACATCTTGACTCAGTCAGTTTCCTTCTTATTAAACAGCTCTTTTGCAGATCAAAAGTTACCCGATTCATGGAAATTAGCCAAGGTTAAACCTGTCTGTGACATAAACCAACACTTGCAACAAATATCATGCACTCATTTGTTTCGTGTCCAAGCTAGCCAAAGAATTTGTCATAGAGAAGTACGTTGCCCCTGTCATTTTAGAATCTATTGATCCAAACCAGCATGGCGGCTTACCAATTAGATCTTACCTTATCAAATCAATTAGATCAAATAAAATAAAATCAATTAGATCAAGGCATTCCACGTGTACATGGGACCAAGATGGGACCGTCGCTCTTTATCCTTTTGATAAATAATCTAAAACTGTCAGGCTTTAGCTATTGGAAATATATATATAGATGATACAACCAATATAATATAAATACTTATTTTAGTTTAACTGTTCTATAACTTTCTTGTCTCTCGTCTCGTCACTATTTGTGTTTCACAATAATATTGTCTCTCAAAATTTCTAGTAGTACCTATATATACGCGTCTCGCTCGCGCCCTTCTGTTTATGTTTTTTGATTGACAGTTATAAAGTTATATACTGTATGACGTCAGTTTACAACACTTGATATATTTTGAACATGTCATAATTATATTTTTGGCGTCTACTGGAACAGGCAGAAGGCCTATGCTGTCGTCGAGTTTGGGGGAGAGTACACAAGGATTCACTTTTCGGAGATTTCGGAAAACGCTTACTTACGCTGTTGTTCGATCATGTGGCGAGTGGAGATTTCCGAACACTGGCGGCCCAATTTCAGGATGAATAATCAAGAGTTGCGGGTTTTTAACGGCTTTTATAAAAAAATTTTATACTCAACCAAAACTAGTCAAAAAACATTCTTAACTAGTCAAATAACTAAACTTTAACAATAAAATATAGCTGACATGATATTATAATGATTTTGAATTCTTTTAATTACCCCATGGACTCAATTAGAACGGTTTATTCAATAATGCAACCTTTTCTGTGGCCTATATGTTGTGTATTGCTCGTCGTTACTAGAAGGTAAAAGCTCATCACTAGTAGCCCGACCACATTGCCTTCAAAGTCAAATATCTCCGCTCATACTTGTCGTACGGCAAAACAAATTCGATCAGAACTTTTCACAAAGGTTTCTCTTGCTGAAGAATATGGTTTGATCATAGCTTGGGCAAATTTAAGGACGAATGGATCCAAAATCTCTCTCAATTTCGGCTATTTTCATAATACTTCAAACTGTTCGGGCGTGATCGAGGACGTGAGTGACATAAACAATACCTGACAATACCGCCTCACGCGCGGGTGGGACAGCATCAAAGTGACGAATTAACGACGAATTTGTTGCTGTCCGAACTCGCGTAAATAAGCCACGGCTTATAAGGGTTATAATAAGGGTTTTTGTTTGAAGGGAAACCAGTGCGACTTCTTACATAGCGATTCTTCAAACACTCAACCGACTCAAGGGTTCGATTCAAATTATCTAAATCCTTTTTTATCCTATACACAAAGGACAGCGCCCCCAAATTTGATGCAATTCCACCAGAGGAGCAACCACACGCAGGTTCCTCTAGATTCCTCTGTGACATCATGGCCTACCCACTCTTGGATACAACCTCTGATGAATACACCAATATACCCACCTCGTTTACGATGGTGAACACGATAATTAATGGCTCGCTGTGTGAACGTAACAGTATACCAGCTAGAATTACGTCACGATACAGCCTATCTGGATGTCTATCTTTCCCACGTTCTTTAACAAGTTTCAGAAATATTGCAAGTTACAGTAATATACGTAAACGAACTAGTAATCCATGCAACCTGGTAAATGTCCCTGTAACTACTAGTAACCTGGAAATTCACCGAGACAACTGCGCTGTTCCATCTTTCTTTGTCACCAATGCCTGCCACATAGCAAACAAGGTGGACGAACTGTCTGCAGTGGTTGCGATAAACAATCCCTCTGTAATTTTGGTTACAGATCCTGGTTATCGTCTGATATTCCGGATTCTATTATTAACATAGGAAATACTTACAATTCATATCGACTAGATAGACCTACGCCAGGTGGTGGTATTTTGGCATACATTAAATTTGACCTACCTGCTAAGCGCCTTCCTGAACTAGAAGAGGAAGGAAAAGAAGCGCTCTGGCTATTATTAAAACCACCCAGAACACAGAGACCCTACAGTTCTGTCATTGTAGTAGGCATATACTATCCTCCAGGTCAAAGTAAAGAGAATGAACATGAGATGTTGGACTACCTAACTTAAAAGATGGACATTGCTTTAGCTGAGCGCCCTTCTGCCGGCATATTTGTAACTGGGGACTTCAACAAGTTGGACTCGAATCCTTTGTGTCGCCGTTTTAATCTACGGAAACAGGTCAAGTCACCCGTGCCACGAGAGGAAAAAACATTTTGGACCAGATACTTACCAATATGTCGGATCTGTATGACGAAGTTCTTCACATTCCACCTATCGGACGTTCTGATCACCAATGTTTGATCTTACCACCCAAAACAAGACAGCAGATGCCCCCCGTTTCAAAGAAATATCGACAAATGAAACCAGGGAACTTAAACGTTCTGGGACTGAAAATGAATCTTCAAGACTGAGAGAAAGTATATTACGAATGGGATGTGGATGACAAGGTCTCAGTCTTTAACTCTATCGTCATCCGTATGCTTGGTGAAGCCATACCCGTGAGAAGAGATCGCGCACACTGTACGGACAAACCGTGGATGACCCCCAATATTAAAGCGTTGATAAAAGCAAGACAGAGAGCATTTACAAAAAGGGAGACACCGAAGTATAAAAGTTTACATGCAAAAGTCACCAAGCTGATATCCAACGCTAAAGCTACGTACTACAAATCCAAGGCTGAAGGCAGCAATCAATCCAATCCCGCCAAATGGTATAAAACGATTTACAAGCTAGCGGCAGCAACCGAAAATCAACAATCTCTCTCCTCGCCTGACCACGCTGACCTAATGGAAATCGCTTACAGACTACAAAGAAGTTTTGCTAAGCCTTGGCTAGGAATTTAACCAGATCGTGCCAGACTTCAAGCGGTAGAGCATTTGCTCAAGGACAGCCACCCACCTCTACCATCCATTGGCCAAGTCAAAACCGTCCTAAAACACCTAAATCCTAGGAAAGCCACTGGGTCGGATAATATCCCTGCATGGTGTCTTAAACGGTACGCAGAAAAATTAGCACCAGTGGTCCACGATATTGTGGTTGCAAGCATAGTTCAATGCAAATATCCCACCTCCTACAAGCATGCAATGATCTGTCCCATACCAAAGATCCGTCCACCCACAGACCTAGATAGTGACTTCCACCAAGTTTCCGTGCTACCACAACTAGAAAAAGTTATCGAGAAGCTACAGCTCCAACTCAATAAATCCAGTTTCAAGATCAAAACAAACCAGCACGCTTTCACGAGCGGTCACTCCACCGTGTCGGCCCTTACCTCCATATCTCAGAACTGGTTTGACTCAACGGACAACTCCTCAACCGGTAGGCAAGGTGTTCACGCCCTATTTGTTGATTTCCGGAAGGCGTTTGACTTGGTCGACCATAAGATCTTTCTGGACAAGCGTGCTGATATGAATGTAACAAGGAGTTTCTGGTTATGGATAATGAGTTTTCTGGAGGGAAGAACACAACAGGTAAATCTCCAAAGTGTACTATCCTTTACTGCATCATGCCCATCCGGCGTCCCTCAGGGATCTGCTATCTCGCCGACCCTATTCAACATACATATTAACGATATGGAGGACAATGTTTCTGAACAGACATGTGTCAACACAACCAAATATGCGGACGATTGCACCATGGATACGTCAATAAGAACAGGAGAATCTAGCGATTTGCAAAGCGCTCTGGACTCAGTGCAAAGTTGGGCTGTGGAAAATAAGATGGAACTGAATGTCAAAAAGACAAAAGATATGTGGATTAACTTCACCGAAGCACCGCCCCCATCTACCACTGCATATAGTAGATGCTATCATAGAAAGATTCTATAATTTCAAACTCTTGGGAACCTGGTTTCAAAAGGACCTGAAATGGAATAAACATGTCGAGGAGACCACTCGCAAAGCAGCTAAAAACCTGTACTGCCTACGAGAATGTAGAAGAGCGAATCTACCAGTCGAAGTGGGTCTCACCACTTATTTAACTAAAATCAGGCCTATCCTTGAATATTGTTCTCCAGTGTGTGGTGGTCTAGGTGAAGGACGAATTGGAACGTGTACAAAGGAGGAGTCTACGAATTATTGGCCTCCCGCATGGTTACCTGCCAACTCTCGAAGAGAGAAGAATTGAAGCCACATCGAGAGAACTCGATACTATCTTAGGTGATCCAAGTCATATCTTTTATCAACGAACTATGGAACATAATAAACATAACTATACTCTTAGGCGTAGAGACGGTATATTTAAATACGCACCTTTCTCAGGCACTGAACGACACAGAAATAGTTTTATCCCACGAGCAATGAGACAGGGGTTGTATTAAAACTTAACTTGGTTTTTATTAACTTTTCACTAATTTCCTAGACTTTTAAATTTTTACTCCAAATTGTATATATAAAAATTTCCGATAGTTTGTAAATATTATTGCATGCCTAGTTATGCTCTTCTCTTTTAATAGACATATTTGTAAATCCATTGTATTTTTAAACTAAAGATGGATCAATAAAATCATCATCATCATCATCATCATCATCACAAATAAGTCGCGAACGACTTGTACAAACGGTCAATTTGCAATAAGCCACGGCTAATTCAGGCCTAGCTTTCAACTATGGGCTTATTTTAACCGCGGCTTGCGAACAAATTGATTGTTTATACGAGCGAAAACAAGCGCGGCCTAAATAAGCCACGGCTTAAATAAGTCGCGAACGATTCGTATAAACAGTCAATTTGCAACTGCCGTGGCTAAATTAAGCCCAGCGTTTAATGCTAGGCCTAAGTAAGCCGCGGCTTATTTCAAATTGACTGTATATACAAGTTGTTCGTGACCTCTTTAAGCCGCGTCTTATTTTCGCTCGTATAAAAATGGCCCTAATTGTCTAATATATAGTATATGTATTGTTTACGTCACGTCCACGATCACGCCGGAACATCATTACGTCCTAGCCATCATGTCCTAGCCATAACTTATTCACCCGAGCAGTGGAACAAAGAAATTATATTTCTTGGACTAACAGCGAAACAAAGAAATCTTGCTCATCAGAACAGTGGAAGACAAAAAAAGTTCGAAGAGATACCGTATATTATTAATAAAATTTATTACCTGCAAACTATATTGCAAAAAAATTATGAACATTTTTCATGGACATTGATATATTATACCAACGTTCCAATTTGCTATGGAATTAAAATATTTGATTATTAAAATATTTGGGAACCTGTGTTGGGTGATATGTAATAGCATATCTTTATTTTAATAAAACGGTCATTTCGTTTATTTCTCTGCTTTAAGTATCTTTCTTTGCTTCTGATCCAGTTGACGCCATGTACGCTACAGCGTATCTATTTTTCTTACATGCTGTCAGTCAATAAGTACGTTATGACATTTTAGAATTATATTAATTTTATAGCATACAGGTGTACATTTACATGTATAAACATAATGATGTTGTTCATCAGTCACTCTACGGATGCATGAACAGGTCTTCTTGTTGAAAAGATCCACTGCCGCCAAGTAGTCAATATTGAAAAGATACTGAATCGTTCGCAGTGGCGTGGCCAGCCGGACGAATTAGTCCTGCTGTGCAAATATTGCCATGTTTATAATTATAAACTATGAACACAATTAATTTCTAAAGAAATGAATAATGATAATGAGTATAAATTTGCGTAGCAGGACTAAATCGTTGGGCTGGCTACGCCACTGATCATTCGCGAGTTTGTGCCAACCTGAACAGACAAATAAGTAATGTCAAGATGCTACCTGTTCAACGGGAAAGGGCAAAACAAATTTGCCATGAGTCGTCAAAGCTCTCATCGACTGTACAATTTAGTCGTTTGGCTTCTGTACTTCTGAGATTCAGTCTTTTATCGCTGATATTTTTGAATCTCCAAACTTTTGGAGAAGGACTCGACTTTTGTTTTGACGCATCAAAGGACGGTAGGTTTTGGTAAACTGCAAGTGCTTATGGCAGTCATAACCGGAAGCAAATTATTTTTAAAACGTTCCGTGTTACATTTGTACAAACTGAATCTATATGATCGTTTCTATTTCAAAGACGTAGACCATTCTTATCCTGCCGTTGTCAAGATGAGATACTTTAGGATTAGCTTTAGCGTCCCTAAAAAAATTGTGCACAGCTGTTGTAATTGTTAATAATTTATGAAGTGTCAATATTTTTGTGTTTTCAATAAGGGAAATATAGCAACCATATATATCTATATTACATCGGGATAGCAAAAAGATGAACAATGACTATATATAAATATGGCATAATAAAAGGAGTCGTTCTCTGACCAAAAATAATTTATTTTGACGAGCTTTAGGCCACGGCCACTAGACTGTGGTCTTCTACAGGTACATGACTAATGAAAATAGCGAGCTTCTATACTAATTTAGGTTGTGTTACATCATAGATTAGGAATTTTAATTACGAATATTGCGATATAAGTAAAGTAATTAGCGGAGGCAGCGTTTCTTTGTGAGCTTAATGTATTGACGCCATTACCAAAACAATACTGTATTGTTTTGGTGATGGCTTTGATTTGGTAATGTGCCATGATTCCAGAGTTTTTCTTTGTCTATAGTTTCCCTTGTCAATAATTTCCAATTTTTCAAAATCAATTCTATGTCCGTTTTTCCATGAATGTGATGCTATGTTCGAACTGTTCGCATAAGTCTTTACATTTCTCACATGTTCTTTTTCTTGTTTCGAATGCCCTCCTATATGTATGCCCTCGTCTCTCCTATGTATGACTAGTTACAAACTATAGACCAAGAAAAGCTCGGAAAACAACTAAGAAGAAAAACTCGGAAAAACGGAAACAACTAAGGACGCGGACAACAATTCAAAGCCATTACCAAAACAATACATTAATTCATCGCACAAATAAAATTCCTAATCTATGATGTAATACAACCTAAGTTAGTATATAGCTGGCTGTTTTCATTTGTCATGTATCTGTAGAAGACCACATGCACAGTCTAGTGGCCGAAAGCTCGTCAAAATAAATTATTTTTGATCAGAGAACGACTCCTTTTCATGACAATATACCAAAATAAGCTTAAATGTCCACGAGGTTCAATAAAGGAAGTAAAGGAGAGCCCATGCATGCAGTCTGTAGTTGCAACATATGACGTGATTGCAACATATGACGAAATCGGCGGAGTATCCCGCGCGAAAAGAGCAGTTTTAAGGATAGGGCTCCGAGCATTCATAAACAGCGAGACATGATATAACAACTAGAAGTAGAAAGCACTCGAAGACCGTATCAATCTCGTTTCCCAAGCATGCCCGTTTGCAGGTTAAAGGTTGGGCATATCTCTGGGGAAATCGAATTTATTCACGTTTAATTTCCAACGTGAGTTCTACGCATGCTCGACAATTGTTGCAAATATAAACAAAGTATTTAGAATTACTCGTCGAAAATTTGATACTTTTTACAATTAAATCGATTGAAAACAACTAAAACTTTACGGGGAAATATGTACGAAAGCTTCAGATTGATTGGGATACAACCACCTGAAAAATACAAGGAGAACTTCGACGTTTCGAGCGAAGGAAGGTTTGTATACATCGTACTTGACCTTTTATACTGTCGGGATTCATGATAAAAATCTCCTCAACAACTTACGTCCGCCGCTAGCCAATCACCGGCCTGAATCATTCGATTTCTCCAGAGCTATGCCCACCCTTAACCTGCGAACGGGCATACTCGGGGAACGAGATTGAGACTGCATCACAAAATAAATAATGGGCAGAAGGTTGGCCTTTGAAGTTTTGTGCCCGCGCATGTCGCTCCGCGCCAGTGAGCTTCATATATCTCTGGAGCGAGAACTCGAGTCCAAAAAGTGAAGCCAGTCAGTTTCGTTTTAACCGCGCAGACAAATGCCAATCTTCTTTACCTTTCGGAATATTTTTATTGTTATAAATACAAGAGATAACAGGAAACATAAGGTATCTAATTGTTATCTCAAAGAGATTTTGACACGGAATTGGTTATTAATCATAATTTATGAATAAATGAAGTTACTATATTACAAAGTCTAAATTACAGACACAGAAAACAAGGAAATGAGAGTGGGGGGGGGGGGCATCATAGTAGGAACAGGGCATTTTTTAACAATATAACTGGGGGGGCCAAAGCCCCCCCAGCCCCCATGGTGGCCCCCCCCACTCAACCATTTTGGCCCCCCCAGTCAAAGTCCCTTTTCTCTAAAATATAAGCAAAACATGGAATTTAGAAGGGAGGTTTGATATTCTAGTAACTGAAATTTGCTTTGTGAATCTTATGTCCTGGCTTTTATGTTTAATAAATACCTTATTAGATTTTAAACATTTCCCAGGCAGTGGATTGCATTACCCAGACCCTATAGATTTGAGTTGTTGGACAAGTTAGTGACCGCAGGGGGCAACAGGCCCTCAACCAAGTGTTTTATAAGGGGGGGGGATAATTTTGGCCCCCACCAAAAAAAAAACAATTTGATTTCGAAACTAGAAGTATTTGAAATCATATATACATATAATCAAATATCTGTAATCGATATTTTGATAACATTTCTCGTAATAATCCATCCTGACTCGCGGATATCATAGACTCACAAATCATAATAAACGAATTAATGAAAGGGCCAAACAAAAGACGTATAGAAGACTTTGAAAATGCCATTTCCGATGATTTAGAGACGCAAAATTTTCAAAAATTTTCCGCTCTGTGCCAACCATGGTGGCGCTTCGTGGGAGTCGGGAACTCTAAATTTATCAAGCTGGCTCCCTAAGTGACGGCCAAGTTGTGGTATCTACATAAACATACTATGCAAGTACTTAACTGA